AGGCACCTTGAGGGCTTTCCTGGTGACAAGATTGCTAACCCCCGCCTAAGGCTCGAGCCTGCCAAGACCGGGTGGGCTTCCTGACCCCCTTCCTGAGGAACTGGGTAGCCCTAGCAAGTCACTTCCTTGCTGGGTCTCAGTTCCCACATCAGGAACCGACGAGCTCTTGCCTCCCTGAGTGGTCATGCAGGTCAAGTCTGGAAAGGGGTCAGCAGAGTCATGGGACCATTTGACCTCAGCCAAAAACCAGCCAACAAAGCATGAGGCTTCAAGCCAATGCTATTGCACAACCATGACCTCCTTGCTTGCCCCAGACGCCCATATCCTCCAGGGCTGGACAAGAGGTCAGAACTATGTGAGGCTCTATAATGGGCTCAGGGGCTGAGTGACAAAGAGACAGCAGAGCACACTGCTGGAGGCTGCCAATCGAGGCTTCAGCTTCCAAACCATGAAGACAGCGTTAGTGGCTTCATACATCGATGGTAGCCCCCATCACTAGCGTTCGGTCCCGCCAGGTCACAGGGGATCAGTTTGCATCACTGCACCAGATCCTCACCCACTTGGCCCAGGGGCAAACTCAGGCTGGGCAGCCACCTGGGCTTCTCCCCATCACACCAGTTTGCTAGGGCCTTGGAGGGCCCAGAGGGGAGAGGCTGCTCATATTGCCTGGCTGGGTGGAGGGAGGTGGCAGCGAGGCTCTCCCAGCCTGTTTCCACCTGCCCAGAGCCCTGCTCACAGTTGTAGCCTGATGGCTTCTTCCGGAGTGTAGACTTCCTCGAGGCAGGCTCGCATCTATGAACCAAGTCCTTGAAGGAGTGAGCGCCCTAGGGCAACTGTCGGCCACTTTCTCCAAGCTCAGTGCTGCTGGGGAGGGAGGTGTGCCGCCTGAGTGGGAAGGGTAAGCACTGGAGCGGGGAATGGGAAATCTGCCAGACTCTGTCCACTTGTGGCCGTTAGGGCCAGAGGGTAGAGAATGAATCAGGAGGCAGAGAGAGGGAAAGAGACAAGTCAGGGCGGGCTCATTATGGGTCTTGCAGACCACATTATGGAAGAGGAAATTTATCCCAAGAGTGGTGGGACACTATTGCAGGATTTCTCGTTAGAGACTGTGGTCATCACCCTCCCCATCTTCCTCACAGCCGTCTTCACCACCATGGCGGCTCTCATGGGTCCCGTGCCAGCTCTGTACCAGGCACTGTGCTAAACACTCTCTTTGTGAATCCTATTAAAAGTTCTATGGGGTAGGGGCGCCTGGGTGGCTCAGTGGGTTAAAGCCTCTGCCTTGGGCTCAGGTCTTGATCCCAGGGTCCTGGGAACGAGACCCGCATTGGGCTTTCTGCTCAGCAGGGAGCCTACTTCCTCCTCTCTCTCTGCCTGCCTCTCTGCCTACTTGTGATCTCTACCTCTCTGTCAAATAAATAAACAAAATCTTAAAAAAATAGTCCTATGGGGGTAGATCCCATTATTATGTCCACTTCACAGATAAGAACATGGAGACTCAGAAACAGTAAGTGAAATGTTCAAGACCACACAACTACTAAATCCTGGCCAGAAGCAGAAGTGGAATCCAGGTCTGCTTGATTCCAAAGCCTTGGCTCCTAAACGTTGGTCTTTGGGGTTATAGCCCCTCTCCAGTGGTGTTTGCATTAGAACATGTCTTTACTGCCGAGCGAAGAATAAGAATTAGCAGATGGTAGTGGTCGGAATCAGAGATGGGGAGAGCAGTAACAGAAGGTGGTTTGAAAAGGGAAGAAGCAGATAGGAAACTCCACCCAGGAAACGCTTAGGCGGAGTCTAAAAAGAGGTGTTGACCCACTGGGAGGAAGGAATGAAGGAGAGGGTGCCTTTACTGATGAGCCCCACGTTTCTGGCATGGGTGCTTGGAGGGGTAGACGGAGGAGGGCCATTTCTGTAGACACAGAATACGTGTTTTCTTTAATGAGTCAGAGAGTGAATGAATACATGAAAAATGAAGAGGTCCCCTCAAATGAAGTAGATAACTAGTTCCCCATCACTGGGATTATGCGAACAGTGGCTAGACAACTGTTTAATCTACACATTGTAGAAGACATTCCTGATTTGAAGGGGAGGTCCAATGGAAGGTATTCAATAAATATATTGCATGCATGTGTGATTGAATCACTGCTATCCCTATGAATCTAGGTCCTCATGGGGTCCCACCAGCACCTGCTGGGAGCTTGGTGATGAGTTACCACTGCAGGGATGTAGGAGGGGGAAAGTACCAAACCCTCTTAAATCTTCTTACATTTCTGATTCAGTATATTTTTAAGCCTACATTTTAATATATATTAGAAAGTTTACATATTGGGTATGTGTAGTAAAAATTCCTTTACTTAGAAAGATACACAATCAGAAGCTCGGACACCACCGTTCTGAAGGACAGAAGCCCTAAAATAGGTTGAGTGGAATTAATGACCTGCCTCTCCTCTGCCCAAGGCTTCTGCCTGCCTATTGCAATGTCCTCACAACACTCAGGGGTTCGGAGTTGTAGCAAATGAAAAATCTCTGCAAAAAACTCCTTGTCCATTTATTAAGCTATATGGAAAAGACACATGTTTACACATTTCATCCATTTCTCATTGTTTGTGAAATGCTCCCTCATTACAATGTAACAGCTCTTTGGGTCTTTCGTGGGACAGATGGTCTTTAACACAGTGTCATCACAACCCACAGAGTGGCTGCCATCTCACAGACTGATTGCTCCACAGACCATGAGAGGACCCCTAAGTGACCATTAGGGTCCCAGGGCTGTGATGCGGCTCTGCTCAGAGAAGACCTTTAGACCATCGCATGCCAGCTGGTGGACAAGCAGTACACATTAGCAAAGCACAGCCTCTTTTTTATTTCACAATATGTGCACCTGTGTAACTTCATTTAAATACTAAACCATTGCTACTTCTTATTGAACTGTTTTCTTTCTCCAGCTACAAGTGTGTATGTGTACTGGGACAGAGAGGTGTGTGTGTGTGGCAGGGGAACAAAGGCTGGGAATCTTTTTAACGTTTTCGTTTTAAAATCTAGAGCTGGCTTGATGAGGATTTATGAGCTGTTTGCCATCCAAAATTTCCCAGTCCCCTTTTGGGTTTCCATCTTCTCCAGAGAAAGTCAGCTAAAAGTATGCATTTATTTTGTTGAGCGAATGAGTGCCGCTCAGTGCTGCGTACCTTACTATCCTGGTAGCTCCTGAAACCCATGGCCACTGAGCTGACCCTCCCTGCCTTGGTTCTCCGCCGCTTGATGTCAGAGCCTGGGTGTTGTATTCTCCAAACTCCCCATGGAGCTTGGCACGGTGCTGGCCCCAGGAAGCAGGCTGTGAAACGTGGGAAAAGAGAAATGAATCCTCCCTGGAGGTCCTCGGGCTGGGGGATAGGGCTGTCTTCTAAGGCTCTGGCCAAGGAGGCTGGTCCAGCTTCCTGGGGCCTGAGCCCCGCCCCATGCATCGCCCCGCCCACCGCCGCCCCGCCCAGCGAGGACTGAGCCCCGCCCCTCCGCAGTGCCGGCTGCTGGCCTCTCCCAGCGAGGGCGTTCTCCCTTCTCTGTTCAACAGTGGACCCGCTGTTCCGTTGCTCATCACGTGGGTCCCTCCCCAGGGCTTCCTCACCGTTCACACCCACCCGGACCTAGCCAGCCTTCCTGACCTAGGGCTGCCGCCGGCACCCATGAGCCGCTCAGCCCTCTAGGGGAGCTCTGTCCCAGGACCAGTGATGTGGGGTCAGTGACCTTTATGCCAAATCATTGGTCTGCTGCCCTGGAGGGGCCCCCATGAGGCCACCTTCAAATAAACCACTGCTTGGTGGCCTTGGTGGCTGAGACAGGGACCACGGTAGGCGGGCCTGGGCTCCTCCTGACGGCTGCCCACCCCCAGTGAGGGTGGGAGCATGGGGACTCCCTGAGTACGCTCACCCAGACATCTCTCTGGCTCATCAGAATACAAACCCTGAACGGGGTGGCCTGCCCCCGAAATGCTTGTGCGTGTATGCTGGGGTGGGGGTGGCGGGGACAGAGTATGGGAAAGAAGGGTGGAAGGTAGTTAACATTATCGAGCACCTGCTGCGTGGATGACACTGATGGGTGCTTTACACAACCATGAGCGACAAAGCTGTGTCTTTACAATAAATTTACTTCCGTTCTGTGTGCATAAGAAAGCCGCACGTTTATATCGTTTATATAGCACCTTTCCTTCCTTCGAAGTACCTCTATGCCTGTTGACTCTTGGAATCTTCACAACACCCTGCGGTTACAGAGGCAGGGACAAGGTGATGTGCCATCCGTTATGGGCTGGGCGTGGCTGGCTCCTCGCCCCTCGCCTCTGCACTACCCCACAGCGCCTTGCTTGACCATGTCCAGTCGCAGAACAGCCTTCTGGTGGTTGCTAGAGCTCAGTCATCCCCGTCTGAGTTTGCAAGTTCCTTCAGGGCAGAAATTATTCTCCTTTTCTTCCCTTTTACCATTGGGGCTCAATGCTGCACAGCCAGCAAGTGACTGTTTACTGAGTTCTTTGTTGGCACAGACCACTTTGTCCATCGACAGGGGAAGTGATGGAATCCTAGTCTCTGGGTTCTCACCAGGAATCCCTCACAGTTCAACCTTCATTAACCTGAGCATCAGCCTCCAGAGTCCCAGCTCGACAGATTTGAGAGACCTAAAGCAAAACCCCAGCCCGGTCTGGCCTGTGCACTCAGCCATGGCACCAGAGCTGGGGGGCTGCTCTCCTGAAGGTCTGGGCTGCCGTGCTGCGGCAGGGCGGGACACACATGGGAGGGAAGCTCAGTCACTCCTGTCCCTGTCCCCAGGCCTCCTCCACTCCCGGAGGGTGCAGACTGGCCCAGGGGTGGCAGCAGATGAGAACAATAATACTGTCGTGTGTATGGAGCCCTTGGCCATGTGTGAGGTCCCCCCATCCTCCCGGCCTGACTTGCTGCAGCTTGGGCAGGGCAGCCATGAAGCTTCTGGGTTTTCCTAGGGACACCGACTTCCTGCCCAAGTTTACACCCGTGGCACGCCTTCCATTCCTTCCTGGACATATCCTGAAGCACCCCTCTCCCACCGTCCCAGCACCTAGGAGCAGGGGTCCCGGCGGAGTCCCCCTCACTGGCTGTTCCCCGCCCAGTCTGGCAGTTTGTGAATCTGGCGCTCCACAGAGATGGAGGTCCGGAGCGTGCCCATGGAGTTCTCCATCTTGTTGGGCTCCGGCATGCAGCCCCCTTTCTGGCACAGTCCCCAGAACACCTCGCGGGACTTCTTGCGGAAGCGCTTGCCCACGATCACATACACCAGCGGGTTGAGGCAGCTGTTGCTGTAGGCCACGTAGGAGGCGATCTGCGTGAAGACGTCGACCACGTGCTCATCCCAGCAGCCGGACAGGATGTCCAGGCGCAGCAGCGTGTCCAGCACGGTGCTGATCTGGAAGGGCAGCCAGCAGACGACGAACAGCAGCAGCACGGCCAGGACCAGCACCGTGGCCTTCCTCTCCGTCTGGATCTCCTTGAACTTCTGCATCTCGTTGTTCCGGAGTACCTGCATGATCTGCACTGTGCAGAAGGTGATGACGGCCAAGGGCAACAGGAAGCCCACGAAGTTCAGGAGGATGTTGGTGAACACCTCCCAGGTGCGGGACGGGTAGATGATGACGCAGGCTGTGACGTTGTGGCCCTCGTCCCGATACTCCTTCATGGTCCGGAAGGCCAGCATGGGCGAGCTCAGGAGGAGCGTGCATCCCCAGATCACCAGGCTGTAGAGCTTGGCCCAGCGCACCCCGCGCATCCGGCCCATGGACATGGTCTTCACCAGGGCCAGGTAGCGGTCGATGCTGACCAGCATGAGGAAGGAGATGCTGCTGTAGAGGTTCATGTAGAGCATGGTGTTCACCACGCGGCAGAGGACCTCCCCAAAGAGCCAGTCAAAGTTGTTGGCGATGGTGATGGCCCAGAAGGGCAGCCCGCAGGCCAGGATCAGGTCCGCCACAGCCAGGTTGCCCAGGTAGATCTCGGCCACCGTGCAGCTGGTCTTGTGCAGGCAGAAGATGCTGAGGACAAAGATGTTCTCGAGGGCGGCCAGCACGAACAGCACCCAGAGGAAGGGGGCCTGGATGGTGTTAAGCCAGTTCCACCAGTCGGAGAAGACGCAGGTGCTGGGCACCGTCCCGTTGAGAGCCGGCAGGAGGACTTGCGAGGTGATGTTGAGCATTTCCGTGCTGAAAGAAAGTGAAAAGAGGCTGTTACACCTCGAGTCACAAGAGGCAGGAGAAACAGCTGACGCAGAAGGAGGAGGGGCTCAGCAAGCAGCTTCCAGAAGCCAGGTCAGGAGCAGCACTCGGGGCCTTTCTGCCGCACGCTCAGAGACTCAGGTCCGGACATCCCTGACGCCCCGGGGTCTTTGAAAGGTACCCTGTGTCCTTGGGTGAGGCTGAGAGGTCGTGGTCTTCACCTTGGTGCTGCACTGGGACGTTTCCTCGGCCAGCGTCCATCACCAGCACTGACCATCGCAGTCTTGGACCCTGGAGTTCCTCGACGCCTCCATGATGGGAGGATTCGCGCACATTCCTTCCTTATCACACGGGCCCCTCCCGAGGGAGCTGGTCATTTTCAGATTCTCATGGCCTGGTCACGGTGAGTAATTCATTAGAGGAGATAAATGGTATCATGCCAGACTGGGAGGTTCCAGCCCGGCTCCGAGACCACAGCCCATGTGCCCACACCCTGTCTCCTTCTGGCAGAGGGCAGCTTTGTGCTTCCGGAACCCCCACCAGCAAGAAGTTGATAATAATAAGAGGTTGCATGATGGAAAGGCAGGGCAGGGGCTTTGGAACCAAGCAGTCCTCCTGGTTCAAATCTGGGCTCATTCATTAGCTGTGTGACCTTGGGTAGGTCGAAACCTCTCTGAACCTCAATGACCTACCCCGTAAAATGGGAATAACATAATCTACTTGTCAGGGTTGTGGTGCGAATCCAAAACAATTGGCAAAAAGCCCCAACCTCGGTACTTGGTTCGATAAGTGTGAATAACTATTTTTATGAACCACTAGCAACACTTGGCTTGCTCCTGTGTTAGTGATTTTATCGTTAACCCACTGGTTCCTCTTTCACTCTTGGGTGAGACTCAGACCGTGGAGCTGTTCATTTTCTAGAAATGTCACTGTTAAGGCTAATTCATCTCTACCTTCAGCAAAGAGGCATGGGGCTTGGACACATATGGGTTCCAATCCTAGCTGTGTGGCCTTGGGCAAATCACTTGACCTCTCTGAGCTTCCATTTCATCTCCTTTGGAGTAGAGTATTACTCTCTTCTTGACTTGTTTTGCATGGCTGTGGCAAGGTTCAAATCAAAGAGTGGATATGAAGACACGTTGCAGGCAGAAAGCCCAACCCAGATAGCAGGACTGAGTGGACATTTTCCCAGTGCCCTATGTGGTGGGGGAGGGAAGGTGGCCCTAGGCAGGCTCTTCCTAGAAGGGCGATTCTTTCCTGGGCAGGCTTATGGGGCAGGGGTTGAGCCACAACTTATGGGAAAGAATCTGCTGTTCACCTTGGGATTTCCTAGGAAAAACCCTCCCTCTTACTTCCAGGAGTAGGGGGCTGGTTTTCAGTGGCCAGACTGGGCATCTCTGACTGACTGACTTACTCATCGATGCGTTTGTCTTTTCCTTTTTATTTAAAAAAAAATTTATTTATTTAACAGAGAGAGAGAGAGAAATCACAAGTAGTCAGAGAGGCAGGCAGAGAGAGAGGGGGAAGCAGGCTCCCCACTGAGCAGAGAGCCCCATGCGGGGCTCCATCCCAGGACCCTGAGATCATGACCTGAGGTGAAGGCAGAGGCTTAACCCAATGAGCCACCCAGGCGCCCACGTTTATCTTTTAAATGTGCCTCAAGCTTCTTCTCTGTGGGAGCCAGGAGCCAGTACCACGTGTCCCCTGCCCTGTCCATGCTCCCAAGTGTGACAAATGCCATGAGGTGGAAGGAAGGGCACAGGGCACAGAATTGGTGGGAGGTGGAGAAGGTTAGAGGTGATTCTGGAGCTAGGTGTCCCAGGATGAGGGACATGTCAATGGACAGCTAGAAGGAACAGCGTTATATGGTGACAGATGGCGGCTGCGCTTGGGGTGAGCAGAGCGTAATGTACCGAGAATTTGGATCACTGTGTTGTACACCCAAAACCAAGGTAGCATTGTGTGTCAACTGAACTCCGATGAGAAAGTTAAAAAACAAAAACAACAACAAAGGGGAGGGGACGGACCAGGCAGAGGGAGCAGCTTTAGAGGAGGTGCAGAGCGGAGAAGCCTCTGGCACGTTCTGGAAGGCAGACTAGATGTTGGACAGGGAGGCGGGAAGTGGCAGGAGATGGGATGAATAAGGGAAAAAGGACAGTCATCACTGGCTGCTAAGAAACCGAGGCTTTGTCCCCGAGGGCTTTAAGGAGGGAGCGACAGAATAGAAAAAACACTCTAGAACCTTCTGGTGAAGTGGTGGCTTTAGGATATCCCAAAATTCTGTGCCACCCTTCCCTTCAAAGGGTAGAGTCTAGTTCCTCTTCTGGGGAACGTGGCCAGACTTGGTGACTTGCTTCCCACCCACGGTGGCAGCGACAGTGCGTGACTCCCACAGCCAGTCCCGGAACATGCGCGATGCAGGGCACAGCGGGTTCAGCGTCTGACTCTGAGTTTCGGCTCAGGTCGTGATCTCAGGGTCACGAGATCGAGCCCCCTGTCAGGCTCCATGCTCGGCACGGAGTCTGCTTGAGATTCTCTCTCCCTCTGTCTTTACTCCTCTCCGCCACATGCCCCCCTAACCCCTGGACTCTGTCTCTCTTTCTCTCAAATAAATAAATCTTTTTTAAAAACCCATAGTGCTGCTTCCTTCTCTGCCTTTTGGGTCTCTTGCTGAGGGGGAGACTGGCTGCCGCGTTGGGAGGGGACACAAGCAGCTATGTGGAGAGGGACCCCCTTGCCTCTTGGAAGCAGATCCTCTGGTCCCAGGTAAGCCTTTGGTTGACGCCGGCCCCCAGCCTTTGAGTGGTCTAGTGGAGGCCCAGTGGAGGCCCCAGACATCAGGGAACCGAGATGAGCTGTCCCCGCTGGGTCTTAAGTTCCTGACCCCTGCAAACTGGGTGGCTCTGGAAGTAAGGTCTACCCTGGGCAGCCTCCCTGGTCCAGCCTTTGGCCCTGTTTCTGCAGCTACAGAAAACCCACTTCCTTGGTGCCCCAGGCTGGGAGAGTTGACTCTCAGGATCTGGCTCTCTGAGACTGAAGTCACCAGCTGCTGCTTGTTCATTTCCCAGCAATACAGTCCTTGGCCACCGGGATGGCCCCGGCCCCTAGTTGGCTCTGAGAAGCCACAGATTCATCCGAGGTGGCCTGGGGAGTGTGTAACTGGGAGTTACGAGCCCCGAGGCTATTTGGTTATCTGCAGAGTAGGCCGCGCTCCCGCATGGGGCTGGGGGCCTGGACTGGGCCCTTCTCCCCTTTCTTGGGCCAACACTGCCAGCTGAGAACCAACCCTCCTTTTCCTCTGCTTCCACTCAGGATCAGCTTTCCCTACATCCTCTCTTTAGGGTGGCTTGGCCTTCTACCAGATGTCAAACATGTGTTGGAAACTTCCTGTCTCCATGATGACCGGGAACGTCACGTCTCTGTCTGATTCCTTGGGTGTTGACATCAGAGTGTCTCCCCATTTCCAAGTTCATTTGGGATAGCTCACACGTGACCACTATTACTGTGTCCTTGTCCTGCATCTCTGTGCTCTGACAAACCCCACAGAACACCTGCTCTGACTGCTCCTACCAGGCTCATGGGGATTTGAACACTGGCCACGCCAGCCCCCTAGAGTTTTCATCTGTAGATTCAACATCCCTTGTCACTTCAATTGTTGTCCAGGAGATGGGGGTCAGGTTCTCCAGGCCTTCTTCAGGCTGCCTGGCCCTCCCTTATATGGAGTATGTCGAGGAAGTCTTTCGACTTACCTAAAAGAGGCTGTGGTGGGCACAGGGTCCTCATGAAAAGACAGGAACATTGATCTTTTCCAGGTGGAGAACATCTTGACTCAGTGTGGGACGAGAGGGAGGCTCCTGGGCTGACCAGGGGAGAAAGGACAGTTAGATGGTGGCTGGGGACCATAAAACACACATACTCTCCACCAGGGAAGGGAAACGGAGTCCTTCACTTAACACATGTTTATTAAGCAGCTACTGCATATGGGTGCTAGGGACCTAATGATACAATGTCCCGTCCTCCAGGATCGTGCAGTCCAATGGAGAAGCTAGGTGTTCCTGAATTAGTCACTAATTAACTGAAAACTGACATAAATGCTATGAAATAAAGGTTCCATGACAGAATGTAACATGGAGTCCTAAACCAGCCTGCTCTGGGGATGAATGGGTATTTATTTTGAGACCTGAAGTTATGCAGGAGGAAACTGGGTAGCAGGTTGGTGGTAGAGAGGAGGATGTCTGGGTGGAAGGAACAGCAGATGCAAAGGTCCTGAGGCAGGAAGAAACTTGCTGTGGACATGTGTTAGGCCCTGGTGGCTGTTGGGGGAAGGAGGGGAGGAGATTGTGGCAGGGGCAGTGTGGAGGCAGGGAGACATTTGTCTAGGAGCCGGATGATGGAGACTAGAGAGGAGGAATCCCAGGGATGTTTAGAAAGGTTGTAAGGCTGGCCAGGGAGAGGCTGGGGATGAGGGCAAGCAGCATGTCAAGGACGCCCCTCCCTACCCACCACAGGGGCTGCCATCTCCTATGGAGGGAAGAGGCAGAGGGGGCTTCCCCATCTCATGCGACCTCTTGGTCCTGTCCCGGAAGCGTGGGACTAGCCGGGAGCCCAGGTGCACGTGCGTGTGAGTGCATGCGGCCACGGGTCTGCCCAGCCCCAGGTTCCAGCCACTTCTTAGCAAGAGCAGCCTGTGCAAAGGGCAGGCATACGGGCTTCCAGAAGCCAGCTGTCTGAATTCAGCTGGGGGGTGGGTGGAGCTAGGGCAGCAGACAGTTCAGGAAATACAGGCACATTAGAAAAAGAAGGGAGTGAGTTGGTACGTGGGAAACAGGCAGAAGACATTTAGTTCACATCTGAAAAACGTTGAGCAGAACCCCTAAGCTGAGCTGAGGCCAGGATTTAGAACTTTCCAGAGGAGGAACGGGCTGCAAAGTGGTACTGATCCTGCAGGGAGGGGGATCTAGGGAAGGCAAGACAGGCCTTGTAGATTGCCTTTTTGGGGAGGCCCTTCCTGGCCCCGAAGAAGAAAATTCTACTGGAGGTGAGAGGTCATGTGCTTGAATCATTCATTCCTCCATGCTGCCTAGTGAGAAAGAGCCCGGCGACCTTCCTCTGCCAGTGGGGTTCCCTGTCCTGCTGAGGGACCTCAGCCCGCCTGCAGGCCTCCCTTTCCCACGGGACGGTGACAGGTGACTCAGGGCTTCCAGCGCCGTCACCCTGGGGAGTGCCCAACATTTCCTCACTGTCCTCCCTCGTGTCCACCTGCTGGGCCATTGGGAATCTGGCCGGCTGACCCTAACTGCTCCCATTTTCAAAACAAAGCCTGAGGCTTCTCTGTCTCCAGCAGGCCCAAGAAAGGGATTTCAAGTCCAGAGAAGTTGCTGGCGTGGAGGGGGGGGGTGTGCGTGTTGTTTCTGTCCCTCTGCTTTGGAGGTGCCCAGCCCAGGGGAGGACTGTGTGGGGCTGCAGGCTACTGCCCACCCCTCTCCCTGCAGCCCACCCCCAGCCCCAGGGGACCCTTTCCGTGGACTTGGCCAGCGGGAGCACCGGCAGGACATGGAGGGAGGGAGAGCATGAATATGGGGCATCGCCCCCATTTCCCTGTCTCGGGGCCTCCAGGGACTGAGGTCACAGCTCCTCTGAGGGGCCCCTTCCACCTCCCTGGCCAGGATTCTGGAGATGACAACCTCCACCATCTCATCTTTGTGAGATCTCATCTTGGTTCTCGGCAAGGGGCGGGGACCACTGCCGGGGCCTTGGCTCTGCTAGCCCTGAGGTTCCACAGAGCGTCTACACTCTAAGCAGACCCCCTGTCCAAAATCTCTCCATACTGGGGGCACCTGGGTGGTTCAGTCGTTAGGCATCTGCCTTCAGCTCAGGTCATGATGCCAGAGTCCTGGGATCGAGTCCCACATCTGGCTCCCTGCTCAGTGGGAAGCCTGCTTCTCCCTCTCCTGTCCCTCTGCTTGTGTTACTTCTCTCTCGGCCTCTCTCTTTGTTAAATAAATATTTTTTTTTTTTTTTTTTTAAAGAAAGAAACCTCTCCATATGGCCGGTGTGAATGTGCCTTCTCTGTCCTCCTGGGACCCTGTGGGGATTATAAAATCTGATGTCAGATGTCAGAGAGGGATTGGAAGGAATGTGGGAGGGAGTGTGGCTCCAGGGCACGTTGGCTCCGGGGAGGGGGCTGGTCAGGAGTGTGGCCCTCATTCTCTGTCACCCAGAAGGAGCTCCCTTGTCCCTCCAGTCCCCCTCCAGGCCTCAGGACTGTCCTGGTCAGTCTCCACCACCTCTGCCCTACAGGCCAGAGCAGCGAGGTGGGAGGGGGTGACTCTGAAGATGGGCTTCCCCCTTGTGTCTCACACTGATGCTTCATAAGGAACATCCAACGTCCTGATTCATTCGTTCTCCATCTGCCTCAGAATCCAGGCCAAGAAGACTTGCTTCAAAAATATTTCCTTTCGTTGAATCACAGGAATCCTGTCTGTCCCCGCTGCCAGGAGTAAATGCCATGTGAGTCTCAGAGGGAGACCCTTGTGGCTTCCCAGGAACCCACGTCTCAGGGGCTCTGAGTCTGGGGTCACCCTGAAATGCACAGCGTCCCTTTCTCAGGGGCCAACCTTCCTCTGGGCTGGAGCCCCCAGCCTCACAGACCCCTCCAGGCAGCATCCTGTGGCCGCGCGAGACCCAGGAGGAGCTGCCCGCGGCGAGGGGTGTGGGCCGGACGGTGGGGAACCCTGGAGCATGTGGTCACCCCTCCTGACGGGCCGGCCCCACGGGGCCCATGTGGCTTCAACCTCTGTCTGGGATTTGCACCCGTTTTCTGCAAAGAGTGAGGGCCCAGTGCCCGAGTCTAGCCAGATTCGGAGAGCTTAGAGCCCACAGTGTTTATTTTTGGCAGGTTGTTTTGATGACAGATGGTTCTCAGTTTCCTTTTAAATAAAGTTGGTGATAGGAAGTCACAGGTCAAAAGTAAGTCTCTTAGAGAAGCGGCTGTGTGGGTAGTTAGGTCTGGCAGAGACCGCATGTGGAATGACCGAATTTGGGAAAACAATCCCAAAACGCCTAGCTGGAAATGGCGGGGGGCGCCCAGGCTCGTGGGATCAGAAGTCAGACCTGGAACTGGGTCCTCCTCCACCGGGCTTCTTATTTGTGGGTTTGTATAAAAACAGCCCCCACCTCCCAGGGCTGTCAGCACGTGGAAATGAATGCACAGGGCACGTGGGCAATGTGTTCTCGAAGCCAAGCTGACCTTCCTGCCCCAGGAAGAGGGCTGGTCTGCTTCTGCCATCGCATGAGCTGTGGGATGCGGGAGACCCTTCCACGCAGTCTGTCTGCTCTCCCGCTCACAGCTCATGGACCCACACTCGGTTCCCAGATGCTGATTCCTCAGCTGGATGGAGAGAGGTGAGTGTGTCGCTGGGACGTGTTGTGTATGTGTGTAGGGTGTGTATGTTGTGTATGTGTGTGGGGTGTGTGTGAGATGTGCGCGTGTGGTGTGTGATTATGTGTGTGTGCATGGTGTGTGTGTGTGGTGTGTATATGTGTATGGTGTGTGTTGTGTGTTGTGTGTGGTATGTTGTGTGCGATGTGTATGTGTGTGGTGTGTGCAGTGTGTGTATGATGTGTGTGTGACGTGTGTTTTGTGTGTGTGTTGTGTGTGAGGTGTGTTGTGTGTATGATGTGTGTATGTTGTGTATGTGTGTGGTGTGTGTGTGGTATGTGGGAGATGTGTGTATATGGTGTGTGTTGTGTGGTCTATGCAGTGTGTGTGGTGTGTTTGTGAGTGTTGTGTGTGTGTCGTGTGTGGTAGGTGTATGATGTGTGTGTGGTGTGTATGTATATGGTGTGTGTTGTTTGGTGTGTATGTGTGTGGTGTGTGCATGGTGTGTGTGTATGGTATGTGTGTGGGGTGTGTGTGAGGTATGTGTTGTGTGTGTGATGGGTGCATGTTGTGTATGTGTGTAGGGGGTGTGTGGTGGTATGTGTGTGGTATGTGGGAGATGTGTATATATGGTGTGTGTTGTGTGGTCTATGCAGTGTGTGTGGTGTGTATTGTGTGTTGTGTGTAGTATGTGTATGGTGAGTGTTGCGTGGTGTGTTGTGTGGCTGCCTACCCCATGTTGTGTTGTGTGTGCGGTGTGTACATGTGTTCTGTGTGTGTTTGGTATGTGTATGATATATGTGTGGTGTGTGTGGTATGTGTTGTGTGTATGTATGTGGTGTGTGCATGGTATGTGTGTGGGGGTGGCGTGTGTGATGTGTGTGTGGTGTGTTGTGTGGCCGTCTATCCCACTGTATTCCGCATCCTGAGAGGGAAGGGCGTCTTCCTCATCTTGCCACTCCGCTGGGCCTGCACGGATTTGCACGTCCCAGTCTCTTGAAAGACACTCGCCTGTAAGTGGAATCTCTCCAGCCACCCAGCAATTCAGAATCAAGGCCAGGGTCAGAGAGAGCCGACGTCTCGAGTCACATGGGAGAGCCCTCCCTTGGACACCTCCCCAGCACAGAGGCTTTCCTCTGAACTCTGATCTCCACGAGTCCCGGTAAGGGGCTGTTTATAGCCAGTCACCAGGGAAGAGATTGGGCCACAGTAAACACTGGTGGGGCGGGGGGCGGGGAGGAGGAGGAGGTGGCCTCCCGCGCCTTGTTGGCCTCTGCGGCAGGGCAGAAGCATGGCCTGGGCACAGTTTCCAGGGGACCCTTTTCTCTTTTGTCCTGAAAAAAGGTCAAAGCCGTTTCTGGGGAAGGGTGGGGTTCTGGGAAGTCAACCCCCATTCTAGGAACTCCTCGAGAGCAGAATCAGAAGATCCAGTCCTGCCACGTGGGCTCTTCTGGCATTTGCACACTTTGCAGGCC